TGTAAACACATTTGACATGACAAGGAATATTATTCAACCCGATTATGAAAACAGACAGCATATTCAGAATTTATGTCAAAACATTTCAGTAATTGGCTCATGGCGCTTGACATTTATCAGACAATTTTTTAAATAAATCCTGGTAATACTCAGCTTTTCTGAAAACCATTGCATTTTTGGTTTGTTAATTTGTAAGGCAAAACAGATTGTTAGGAAATTTGTCACTTCAGAAGGCTTAGTCATACCAGGTTTAGATAGAAGACAAAAGAGCGTTCATTGTTAACCATTGTATTATTTTTAAACATTTTGTACGTTTTTATACTATCCTCTGGGGCTCAACTGCTTCTGAAGCTCAAGCGGTTAAAAAAAGCACATATTTTTGGCAATAAGTTAATGTTTTTTGTTGTCTGAAAAATAAGCCGTTTCAAATAAATTCAGAATGTAAGGTCACAAATCAGCAGGCACTGACCGTTACCTAGCGACCCCAGCAGAGTTCCGGCCGTTACCTAGCGACCCCAGCAGAGTTCCACCTGTTACCTAGCGACCCCAGCAGAGTTCCGGCCGTTACCTAGCAACCCCAGCAGAGTTCCGGCCGTTACCTAGCGACCCCAGCAGAGTTCCGGCCGTTACCTAGCGACCCCAGCAGAGTTCCACCTGTTACCTAGTGACCCCAGCAGAGTTCCACCTGTTACCTAGCGACCCAAGTTGATCTCCAGCACATTTAGACAGTTTGTTTTACCGCTGTGTGTGCTGTAGAATCGCTGCTGGAAAAGACAAGTGTTTTGTTTGTTTTTTTGTTATTCTGATGTAATCACATTCAATAAATAAAATAAATTAGCGAAATACACTTAAGGGCTTGCTGAGGCAGTTCTCATTCTGTTGCTGGGAATAAACAAAAATATATATCTTGAAACTGTACAATTTTGAGACAACTTTTTAAATTATAAAATATATTATTTGAGTGGGTAAAACGAACAATAAAATTATCTTTTTTTTTACTGGAAAAAAACTTGTAATGAATAAATGAGGGTTACAAAATGTAGTTTTCCATCACGAGTTTTGAATTCAGTTGTTAAAGTCACAAAACATATCAGTTTGATCTCCTGTATTAAAGCAGATAAATCTGATTCAGAAGGAAAAGTGCCAAGATTCTCTTTCGCAGGCTGGCAACCAGCGATTCTCACATGTTGGTGTCAAGAAACACAAACGGTGAAATGAAGCCCACTGGTCTCTCGCCAGGTTCAGGTGAGAGAATTAAGAATATTCAGTGTTAGTCTTTGTGTTTCTTGCATTAGTTGGAGAGAGCTGATGCTAACGGCGCATCAAAACAAAACCCTCTGCACGGTTTGCTCACTTTTCTCACAAAGTAATTCAAGCGCTTTTCAAGGCAACTTTTTGAACACCACACTTTGGAGTTGAACTAAAAAGATGGTTTCAATTCACCATTATATATCATTTCATACTGTTATTAGTAACTTTGTGTGATATTATTCTGCATTCTACATCAGGGACAATTAAACTAAACCACAAACATTTTTATGTTTTGACACAAAAATAATGTTTAACATATAAAATATAAGCCAACCTTTACTTAAATTACACTGTTAACTTATTGAGCCATTAGAAATAATAAATATTCATTACATTGATATAATCCAAACAAATCATGGGCAAACAATTAACAAACTGAATGCTTAAAATACTTAGGAAGGTTGAAAAAAAATAGCTAAAAACATATATTTTCTTAATTAGTAGGTTTTAGTTGTAGTTTTTAATGTTTTTTTCTTTGTAGTTAATGTATTTCTCTTAATTTGTAGTTGCGTTTTGTTGATGTACTTGTGAATATATTGTTCATTTCAGTTTCTGCTTAGTGATTTAAGTGGCTTGCAGTAGTTTATAGGTCAAGGTTGACGTTAGACGCAGCCATGTTTAATAGCATTAAGGAAGAAGACACAAACACAAACGCAGAGCCATGACTAAGTCTGCTAGATTACCTCCGTTCCTTTTGGCTGTTGGCTGTGCGGTTGGGAACATGGGAGCCTGTCCTGTGTGACTGGTTTGCCGGTTCTGCTGTGTCCTGGGGCGGCCCGAGTCACAAGCTTAGCTGCTGCTGCTGCTGCTGCTGCCACTGACCGCAGCCATCTGAACTCCTTTCCTATTCTGACTGCAGGCGGCACACAGTCTGCTGCTTCATTAGGTCACTCCACCACCTCTAGCTAGGGGGGAATTTCAAGGCAGGTCCAACCTCCATTACCATATGGCCCCTCTTGGTCATGCTGTCATAAAATATGAATCCGGCACAAAGGGCTACTGGTCATAATGTGCTCAAAAGTGCTGCATGCCTCGGCGTGTTGCAAGGATTTCATCAGGCATGAAAGTTTCAGAGTCCAAGAGTCGACATTGTTTACATCAGCTCAGTGTCAACGGGCGCTATGTTTGGAAATAAAGACATTTTAGGAATCACACCATCTGCTTTCATAGAAAAGGTGTAATTCAGTGGTAACTGTGTGTACATCAGGATAGAAAAACAGTTTCCAGTAACTGTGTTCAGCGACCGCAAACAGGAATAATAGAAATAAAGTGTAAGAACAGGCTCCAACTTTCCTACAAGCAGATTTATTTGACTTGTACAATTTAATGAAAAGTGAATGATGATTTTTAACCTTGATAAAGATTTTATAAGAACCTTTTTGAGTAAACAAAAAAAAAAGTTCACTTGACTGTGAATAAAGTCACGAAAAAAACTAAGGCTACGTTCTCTCTGAGTCCTGATGCTCAATTCAGATTTTGTTTTTTTATGCTAACAATTAAATGCAACCACAATCAGACTTCTGTGTGAACTGTTTACGACCCCAAAGAAGAAGAACGTTGACGTCACAAAGCAGCACATTATTTACAGAAGCCATCCTGATCGGAGTTGTCTATAAAGTTTTTACAGCAATGGGAGCCGACATAACAAAACAAAGCTAATAAAAAAGCACAGATTTTTAGTGGAGCATTGATGACAGTTTTTGTAGAGAAATCGGTTTGGATTCGTGGTCAGAGCTCAGGGTGGTGGGATTGTGATGTGATGTGCTTCGCTAGCTGCGTTTCCACTACAGATGTGATCAAGTCTTTGTCTGTATCCTGCTAATGTTGTAAAAACACAATAGCGGTGTTCCTATTACATAAGTATTGAATTAAAATTACACTTATATAAGTTTATCCATGTGATAAGTCATTAAAATCCATCAACAGTTAAAATAAATACATTCATTTTTCAGCCGTGACGCTAGCACCAATCAAAGGAGACGTCGGTGTCTCTTCTGATTGGCGCGATAAGCTCCGCCTACTTGGGAGTGGCTACATCTGCAGCGTTTTGGGCAAATTGTAGTTGGCTATTTCACAGACCTATGTGGACAAAATGTTGGAATGGCACAACTTTTTATGAACTGTGTGATGCTGAACATTGTTCGAAATAAAAACAAACCATCATCCTCCGACTACTTCATGTCGTCTTCTTTGGCGTTTCTGCCAGTGGAAACTTTGAAAACAATCGGATCCAAATTTGTTCCACATATCAAAGAGGATCAAATCAGATGTTTCATTTCGGGTGAAAATGGCGGAATTGGGCCATTTATAAAAATGGATAAAAGTCGCAGCAGGAAAATACACTATCGAATAACTTTAGTATTTATTCTGACAATTAAGTGAGTTTTTAGATAGAAATGTAGAATGATGGACTTCCAACATTTGAGACATTTCCTGTATTACCCTTCCCAGATTGATAAGAACCAGTATTGCTGCTGATGTTTCCCCTTGAAATTATACAAAAGAAGAAGCAGAGGAGAGAAAAACAGAAAGGTGTCAGAAATGGTTATTGCAGCATTTCAAAGCTCAAACAAACAGACTGTTGGCCAAGAGAAGCAAAAACTCAGATGAGTTATTACTACTTTGCTAAAGAGTCAGCAACATACAGATTAGCATACGACTCATCAGTGTCGAGGCTGTAATTTAATTTTAGCACAACATCTGCTGCTAGCGCTGAAATGAAAGTCGAATGAGAACTCAGATTTTGTTTTCTGTAAAAACAGTAAATGCTGTATCCAGGCATAAATGACATTAAAAATTGTGCATTATTCCTTACAAATCTATTAATTTCTCAACCTTTATGATTTTTCTAATTCTTGATACTTTTGGTAAATTAGCTAACTATGCTTTAACTTCCTTTCTTTTGTGCAGTAGGTCTAATACTCAAAAAAGTGAACTCTGGTCCGCCTACAAACCTCGTTTCAGTTCTGTTGAAGTGAACTCTGGCGCGGTTTGAGTTCAAATGTGAACCGGAGACTGCTCCAAAAGCAGGAAGTGGACTGCAACACATGGCATTCTGGGTAAATACAACCAAAACAAATGCGCTAGCTTAGCGCTAACGCGAAAAATGACTTTAGAAATCCCACAACCTCTACAAATTGACACTACTCCATTTCTGTTTACATTTTGTGCAGGAGGAAGTTGTGCTTATTGTCGTCTTCAGAGGTTTTTGTGTTTCATTTAGTGTTTCTTGATGCAGCGCCCCCACAGGTGAGGAGGGGGACAGGTTTTTCAGAGTTTAAATTGTTTGAATCAGTTCAGGGTGAAAGAGAACCACAACAGCTGAAAATGTAACAAATGTTGCAACAAATGAACCAGATTATCAGGTGTGAAAACATTTAGTGTGTAATGGCAACTTTTGTTTTTTCTCAAGTTTTCAATGTCTAAAAAGGAACAAAAACACAAGTTAACTTATTTGCTATACCAAAGTAAACAAACTGCCCTAAAATAAATTCTACAGTTTACCAGACCTGGGTAAGATGTTTTTTTAGCCTATAAATATGAAAATGTGGAATTTTCGACACATTGTTAAATATTTGCAGTTAAACAGATTTGGTGTTATGAAGCAGCGTCTCTCCTGGACCCGATTGCCATTTCTGACAGGTGTTGACCCTGTGTAAGAAATACAATATCTCCACTCGCAGGCGGAGCCCAGGGACAACCTTTGGGTGTTGAATGTCACCATCTGTTGAGGACCTGCTCAGTTGGAGCCATTGCAGCACATGTTGCAGCTCTCTTGGGAAGATTCACAGATTTTACAGAAACTCAGGTGGGCCTGATCAGATTTCTAACGTTGGACTGGAAATCATTGGGTCCATTTTGGATTGTTTTATAAAATGACCCGACCAAAACGGCACATTTGAACTAATGAAACTCAGAGATCATATATCCTCCACAAACTTTCTGTCACATTATGAATCAGTTTCTATAATTTTGTATCATCTTAACTTTTTATGCATACAAAGTAAATTTTTTTGTCCAGTTAAAGGAATTCCCATCATACTTTAACTGGATTTTAAACTGTTTTGAATAAGTTTTATAAAGCTTCCTTCACCCATATGTAGCATATACTGGTTCTGCCCCTCCTCCACCTGTTGCTGCAAGTAAGGTAAACAGGCGAATGCAGACTTGCTCATTGAGTAGAAATACCATTATTAACACAAAAACATACAACATGATTGGCTTTGTTTAAAATAAATATATATTTTGCTGTTTCAAAAGCGATATTTTATCAATCAATCAAATTTTATTTGTATAGCACATTTCAGCAGCAAGGCATTTCAAAGTGCTTTACATAATTAAAATAAAAACAGCATGTGACATTGAATAAACAGTGAGAGAAATTTTGAAAAAGATTAAAACAGATAAAAACATTAAAACCCCTTTTAGGACTTCAGTTAAACGTCGTTTAACTGGGGCTCTAACCCTCTGGGACGTTAGTCAAAAACACCGTTTGACAAGGACTCCAACCTCTAGGTTTTTAGTTGAAACGCCGTCAACTGGGACTCTAAACCCCGTAGGACTTTAGTTAAACGTCTTTTAACTGGGACTTTTTCTGGGGGACTTTACATCATTAAAACGTAAACAGTGAGGAAAAAAAAAAAAAAAATAGATAAAAACTAAAGATAAAAACATTAAAAACATCGAAGACATCAAAACCCACATCTAGTTTTACTGCTCTATATGCTGTACAATGGTTGCTGGAAAAGTTTTGTTGTTGACTTACTACCCAGAAACCACTTACTGCATTCTTGTTGGTTGTGCAGGAGGCTCCACTTCTGCTGTTCAAAGATGAATGGTTGCGCATCTGTTTGCAGCCATTTTCACATGCGAGTGTAAACGTTGAGTTGGGGGGCGTGGCCAGCAGCAGCTTATTTGGATTTAAATTGAAAAGTCGTCCTAAAACGGCTCATTCTCAATATCTAACAATGTTTTGTGTGGTTCATAGATCTATCCTGACCTGTTCTAGGAAGCATAGTAGGAAAACCTCTAAACATATTCTGAGAAAATGCTTAAAATGCTCTGCTTTAAGCTGGAGCCTCAGCAGTGGGACTCCAGCTGCTCAGAGACAGCAGCTGTGATTAAGTTCTGTTGTGCAAATATGTAATAAGCGTAAGCGACATGTTGGCCACCCTTCCTGATGAGATGCCCATGCGTGACTCGGGTCCAGAGCTTTGAGATGCAGCACAATTAGTTCCAGCAGTCTTCCCCCTTAAATGGAGTTTGATTAAGTTTTCAGGCGCCGCCGCAGGACGCTCCGCCTCTCATTCTTCTCCTCGGGTCGCCGTCACACCTCGGCCACAAGTGAGACCGCCGAGCGCAGCCAAACTTATCTCTGAGCAGATAATTCTGCACAGTCGAAGGTATTATGCTCCCCAGAATCAACTCGGAGCCATAGAATCTCGGCTGATGCGCCTCTCAGGTGGCCATCATATTGCCTGAATGGATTTCAGGCAATGATGTGGAACATTTCCTCCGAGAGAGGTGCCCATTCAAATGAAGATAAAGTCATTAAAGCACCACAGCTGTCCTTGAATCTTTGCTTCTTCCTCAATTACCTGTGCTGAAAATGTGCGCCGCATATGTTTCAAGGATAAGGCACTCCAGAGGAGGATGTTCATTTGCAGCACACTGGATGAACAACAGTCAGGCTTTAAGACCATCGTTTGTCTTTTTTTTTTGTGGCAAACAATTATGTTGGTGTAATTGTTAGATCCAAAGACGTTCTGCATACAGTTTCAACACTTTAAAAACAAAATGTTACCAATGTTTTGCTATATTTTCTAGTGTAAACATCTTATTACACTTGAAATAAGACAAAACTGACTTACAGGTAACTTTTCAGCTTGTTTTAAGTGCTTAAAGGTGACCTATTATGTTTCTTTCAACAGGTTAGGATATGTCTATGGTCTATACAAAACATGTTCATCACATTTTCTGCACAAAATCATTCTTAGATAATGAGATTTTAGTCAAAATGAACTGTTGTAGAGCCTATTGTAACTTTAAATCCAAGTTACGCCCTCCAAATCAACGCTTACAGTGGCACGTGAAAATGGCTGCTAACGGATGCACAATTATACACCTGTGCATGTTTGAAAAATGGAGCCTTCTGCCAACAACCAACAAGAATACAGGAAGTGGTTTCTGGGTAGTAAGTCAACAACAAAACTTTTCCAGCAGCCATTGTACAGCTCATACAGTGGCAAAAAAAAAAAAAACTGAACAAAAGTGCTGGAGCTCAGTTTGGGTTGCTAGGTAACGGACGGAACTCGGCTGGGGTTGCTAGGCAACGGCCCTGCCTGCTCATTTGTGACGTTACATTCTGGAGGTTTTTGAGACGCTTCGTCTTCCAGACACAATAAAACCGCGAACTTGCTGCCAAAAACCAGCTAGGAGGGTTTTTAAGCGCTTAGGCCGTTTTTAGAAGCATTTGAGACCCAAATCAAAGTATAAAAATGTGAAATATGTGAATTTTTTATGTCACCTTTAATACTGATGAAAAAAGTACTAGTTCCACTGAACATGTAATATGGAAAAATGTCATGTTATAAGTGAAATAATCTTAACTAGTACTTTTTCATCAATATTAAGGAATCATTGTCTTAAAACAAGCTCCTCTTCATTGCTGAAAAGTTACTTGTAAGTTCGTTTGGTTTTATTTCAAGTGCACTGGGATATTTGCGATAGAAACTGGACCAAAAATACTTGGTAAGACTTGGTGCTTTTGCAGCGAGCAGCTTGCTGGAGCTCCCAGCTCTGCAGAACTTCATCCAGCTTCCTGTTGAGGGGATGATTTTGCTCCCACCTCGTCTCGTCTCAGGAATGTCTGCCTGCTGCTCTGGCAGTCTAGTGATTTGCTACCAGCTGACACTTTTCTGCGGCTCCTTTCAGCCTCTCGCCTGGCTGTACCTGCTGCAGCTCCCCAGGCAGGATGGCGATATCACAGGATGGAGCAACATAATATTCTGCTTGGCAAAAGGGTTCATTTTAGCAAAATGACACGGTGCATTGAAACCACGAACTTATAGTACGATTTTAGAGTATCTTTTACCTGGATGTGATGGAGCAACACAAAGTGGAGCATAAGGAGGATTTCTCTACACTTTTACTGGAAAAGTGCTGCCTTTTACAGCTGCAGGTCTTTGCACACACAGAGACCAAACGTTTTAGTTTAAGCTGGACAATTAATCGATAAAATTGATTTTACAAGTTTTTGGTTTATGACGATTTAATTTTTGGAGTTTCATATTTCAGAGTGACATCTTCTATTTATTTATTTGGACTTTGAATTCAACAAACTCTAAAGATTTTTTTTTAAATTGCATGAATGAAGTAGTAAACATTAAAAATAATAAAATGAGAAATGTTGAGCATCTTCTGAAGTTCGACTTTAGTGTAACTTTTGCAGATAAATAATTTGTTTTACTATCATGAAATTATCAGGAGGATGATTGAAATGAAAGCCACTTTTTGAAAATATTTTCACTCATTTCTAATGAATTTCTATTTAAATAATTTTTAAAATAAAATTAGAAAGTCTGAAATATTCACATTTAAAAATGTTAGTATTTATTTTAGATTCGATTTGATTTTCTCTTTAATAATAAAAAGCATGCCAATATTATCGGTGCTACACACACACACACACATATATATTTTTTTAATTTATATGTGCATACTTTATGAAAATATTTTCGCGCTTTTGTCATTTCTTTTTTTTAGAAAGGAAAGCAAGAAGAAGCAGAAGAAGTCTGTATTATTCACCTTTTAAATTTGAATATTTATTTTAGATTGTATTTTATTTTCCTTATATTGATAGTAAAAAATGATCAAAATTAGAAAATCGGATTTTCTAAAAATAAAAACATATAAACTTTTTTTTAGTTTATACTCTATTTGATTTTCTATTTAAGTATCAATATTATCATTGCTATATTTTGTTTTTTCTTTAACACATGTTTGTATTTTTTACAAATTTTCTGTTTCATTACATCTTTATTTGTATTTTAAAGAGCTCTTAAAGTCATCTTCCAATTTAAAATAATATTTTATTATTATTAATAATACAAGGAACTCACATTTATGTATTTGGCTGCATTTCCTTTTTATTACGTCCTGATTTATGTCTTTCAAAGCGCTCTTGAAATCCTATTTCTGAAATGAATTTAGTCCGTTTCCGTCCTGCTGTTTCTTTCATATTCAGCAGACAAACACTGAGCTGAACTGAAAAGCTCTGGTGCAAAAGCTACACAAGAGGTTATCACAATCACTGTTGAGTTTGAGTTTGTCGAGTCTCTTTTCAAGCACCGTTAGGGCTCTACAAACCAAAGGGTTGCTAACACTGGATCCTGTTACCAGGATACTAAAGTTAGGAAGCGATACACAAACCTGAAATTCAATTTTTAAGAAATTTCACTCAGCAGGAAAAGCTGGCTAACCGCTGAGGCACAATAAATCAACAAAATGTTAATCCAGTGAAAATCTAGATAAATAAATTATTACCACACAGACTGATTTGTCCGTGATGCTGACAATGAGGGGAACAGATGATGAAACTCAGAGTTTGACACATTGTCATGCCTGCTGTGTCGATCACTCATCTGCAGTGAAAGCTATCTCTGAGTTTTCTCTCATTTTGCCCTTGAAGATGTTTACCTCAGAGTCCTGAGGGATGCTGGCACCGTGGATATCAGTCAATCGATGCCTCTTTATTGGACAAGATTCTTATTTTTAAAACCTAAACAAAGCTAGAAATAAAAAAAAGCT